AAATGGAAAGCCCTCTAATTCAGGAGGTTTTCTGGATGCACCAACAGCTCCCTTACAAAAGCTCTCTCAGAGCCCATCTGTACTTCCCAAAATGCAACCCCTCTGAGAAACTCCCCGATCACCCTAATCAGAAACTAACCCTCTATCCCAACCCAGGAATGTCGATCCAGGTTTACATCATTTTAAAGCTGTGGACATATACCCTTGTGCCATGATCATTTATACAATTTCAGTCTCTCTGTCCCCTTCTCCAGCTGCATTTCTACCTCACCCCACCACTCTACTACCTCCCTGCATCCAGGGTGGTAGAGGATGGATTCTACACGGCTGAGACTCAGGTCCAGGGGGGCCCATGCTCTCTCCATGATCCATGTTCGTTGTCACCCGCCCCTTCAGGACCCAGGAAAACCGGAGAGGGAGAGTTGTAGCTAAGCCAAAGTCATCCAGGAAACACTAAGTTCTTAAAGAATCACTGAAAAGTGTCCTAAATACAGCATGTTTTGGTCACTGTGGACACCGTTCAGACATTTCATACACACATGAGTATCTAAAAATATAAGCCGTACACTTCCAAAGAGCTCCTTATTATAGTCATGCTTCAGATTTTGAGACATCTATTGTGCCACATTGTAATTCCTAATGACTGTGGTATTCCTAAAATGAATCCTATGTGCATGTATTGTTTGAAGAAAGGCCAATGTTCCAAGAAGGAAAAAGGAACCAATTCTGATATCATGCTAGCTGTTTTGATGAGCTAAACCCATAAAGCTTTGCTCCTAGGGTTTGATTTAAGGACTTTCAGCTCTTTCAAAGGCTTCATATTTTACTTAATCCTCATCATCAAAGCAGCATCCCTCCACTAAAGAACAGAAACAAAAATTTTTTGACATTAAATCTAATAGCAAGTATAAGCAGAGTGTTAACAGTACTAAGATATCAATTCCAATAAATGAGAAGGTTTACCATGGTCTATTGGTGAAGTACAAATTTTACATATAGTGAGGTGGTAAATAATTTCAAGTCAATTCTAATTTTTTTTAAATAGAATTCTGAATACATATTACCTTTATTTTTTTTCTTTTCAAAATTAGTTAACATACACAGCAATATTGGTTTCTGGAGTAGAAACCAATTCAGTAATTCATCACTTACATGCAATACCCAATGCTCATCACAAGTGCCCTCCTTAATGCCCATTCCCCATCTAGCCCATCCCCCACCCACCTCCCTCCATCAACCTTCAGTTTGTTTTCTATAATTAAGAACCTCTTACAAGTTTCCTCTCTCTCTTCCCCACTCCCATATGTTCATCTGTTTTGTTTCTTAAATTCCACATATGAGTGAAATCATACAGTATCTGTCTTTCTCTGACTGACTTACTTCCCTTATCATAATATACACTAACTCCATTCATATCTTGCAAATGGCAAGATTTTATTCTTTTTGATGGCTGAGTAATATTCGTGTGAGAGAGAGAGAGAGTGTGTGTGTGTGTGTGTGTGTGTACACGTGCATGTGCCTGTATACCACATCTTCTTTTATCCATTCTTCAGTTGATGGACATTTAGGTTCTCTCCATAGTTTGGCTATGGTTGATAATGTGGCCATAAACAGCAGGGTGCATGTGACCCCTTCAAATCTGTATTTTTTATTCTTTGGGAAAATACCTAGTAGTGGAGTCACTGGGTCATAGGGTAGCTCTATTTTTAACTTTCTGAGGAACCTCCATACTGTTCTCCAGAGTGGTAGCACCAGTTTGTGTTCCCACCAACAGTGCAAGAACATTTCCCCTTTCTCCACGTCCTCACCAACAACTGTTATTTCTTGTGTTTTTAATTTTAGCCATTCTGATGGGTGTGAGGTGGCATCTCATCGTGGTTTTGATTTGTATTTCTCTGATGACGAGGGTTGTTGAGTATCTTTTCATGCGTCTTTCAGCCATCTGGATGTTTTCTTTTAAAATGGTCTATTCATGTCTTCTGCCCATTTCCTAACTGGATTATTTGTTTTTTGGGTGTTGAGTTTGAGAAGTTCTTTATAGATTTTGGATACTAGGGTGCCTGTATTGGGGTGGCTCACTTGGTTGAGGCTGTCCTCTGCTCATGTCATGATCCCAGGGTGCTGGGTTCCAGCCCCACATCAGGATCCCAGCTCAGCAGGGAGTCTGCTTCTCCCTCTGCCTCTCCCTTTGCCCCTCCCCCTTCCTCATGTGCTCCTTCTCTCTCTCTCAAATAAATAAAATCTTTAAAAAAAAGATTTTGGATACTAACCCTTTATCAGATAAGTCATCTGCAAATATTTTCTCTCATTCTGTAGGCTGCTTTTTAGTTTTTTTATTGTTTCCTTCAGTGTGCAGAAGCTTTTCATCTTGAGGAAGTCCCAATAGTTCAGTTTTGCTTCTGTTTCCCTTGCCTCCAGAGACATGCCTAGTAAGAAGCTGCTATGGCTGAGGTCAAAGAGGTTGCTGCCTGTGTTATCCTCTAGGATTTTGATGGATTCCTGTCTCACATTTAAATCTCTTAACGATCTTGAATTTATTTTTGTGGATGGTGTAAGAAAGTGGTCCAGTTTCATCCTTCTGCATGTGGCTGTCCAATATTCCCAGCATTGTTTGTTGAAGAGACTGTCTTTTTTTCATTGGATATTCTTTTCTGCTTTGTTGAAGATTTTCACCATATAGGTGAGGGTCCGTTTCTGGGTTTTCTATTCTGTTCCATTGATCTCTGTGTCTATTTTTGTGCCAGTACCATACTGTCTTGATAAGTAACAGCTTTGTAATGTAGCTTGAAGTCTGGAACCATGATGCCTCCAGCCTTGTCTTTTTTTCTTTTTTAAAGATTTATTTGTTTTAGAGGGAACATGAGCAGGGGGATGTGCAGAGAGAAGGGGATAGAAGAAGACCCTGCAACTGAGCACAGAGCCTGACACGGGGCTCAATCCCGCAAGCCTGAGATCATAACCTGGCCGAAATCAAGAGTCAGACACTTAACTGACTGCACCACCCAGGTGTCCCTCCTTTTCTTTTTCAAGATTGCTTTGGCTATTTGGGGTCTTTTGTGGTTCATACAAATTTTAGGATTGTCTGCCCTAGCTTTGTGAAATATTCTGGTGGTATTTCGATAGGGATTGCATTAAAAGTGTAGATTGCTCTGGGTAATATAGATATTTTAACAATGTTTGCTCTTCCAATCCCTGAGCACGGAATGCTTTTTCCAATTCTTTGTGTCCTCTTCAATTTCTTTCATAAGTGCCTTATAGTTTTCAGGGTACAGATCTTTTACGTCTTTGGTTAGGCTGATTCCTAGATATCTTACACGTTTTTGGTGTGAATACGTATTACTTTTAATATGAAGTCTTTACAGTAGGAGTTGTTTCCCCTGGCACATTATGGCTCTTGTCTCTCAGGGTGCTCAGTATCCCTCTCTGGTGTCCTCTGAAGCAGAGGTGAGAGAAATGCCCTAAGTACACCTGGAATTATTCTGTCCACACCTGTCAGCTCTTCTTTAGCAAAAGCTGCTGCCATGGGAACAAAGCTCAATTCACCTTGAAATTATTAATTTTTTAAGAAATCAAGATGTTAGCATCTTCCTTGGAAAGATACATACCATGTGAGGTTTTTCTGTTTGTTTGTTTTGTTTTATTTTGTTTTGTTTTAAATCACTCATGGTCCCTCTAAAAGAGAAACATGCCACTGGGAATTTTACTACTAAAAACTATGACAGATAGTTGCTCCTCTATTTAAAAATTTTCAGACTGTCAATACACACACACACACACATCTAAAACTAGGAGTTCCACATTTGTAAAAAGTTCTTTATTGTAGTCACATTTCAGATTTTGAGACATCTACTGTGCCATGATGGAATCCGTAATAACAAGCGTATTCCTCATATGAATCCTGTGTGAAAGCAGGTCCGAGACGCAGCATACTGAGGAAACCAAGTGAGCAAAAAACCTCTCAGAAACCACCTACAAACACATCCAGATATTATGTAATGTACTACTTTGAGGAATGACTAGGTAGACCAAAATTTAGAACCACCGAAGTACAAATGTGGCACACATCAGCTCTCTAAACCCAAGAAAGACTAAAAAGCAAGCTCAGAGAAAGGAAATTAAAAAATCAACCTCACTCTCAAATTCTACCCTCACACCCTCTCCTGCTCTTTGTCTCTTTCCATTACTACTTCAGCCTGCTTCAACTACTGTAATCCCTCCCAAACAGCCCTGCACATGAAAACCTCTAAGACTTCCCCAGCCTTCCGGCAAGTTCTTGCTAACCAGCATCTGAGATGTCATGGCTTCAGATCCAATAACAATGACTTTGAAGTTGACAGGCTGAGATGGCCTTTGGTCATCAAAGGCTCAGCTAAATGGGGCAGCCTCCAGATCTTCTTTAGAAACAGTGGCTGTTTGTGATTTACTCTGAGACTATTAATTCATATAACTTACAATATCAGTCTCAGGAACCAGGCCTAGAGTAGCATCTTTCAACTAAAGGGGACCTTTCTGGGCACAGAGTGAAGAAGTTCAGCTGTGCCTTTTTAAAATTTTCAACATCATTTGGTTAACTTTTAGAAGTCCAGCCAAGTGTTCCACAAAATGAAGGCATTACAGGTAATCCCAGGTAACTAAAAGGATTCTCACCACCACTAATTAATACATGTTTCTTGTAGCACCTGATTTGGATCTTTCTTTGACTTATGTAGAATCCATGGAGCAAAGGGCTCCTGGAATCAGTCCCTGGATAAGTCATTTTCTATATTTAAACGTCCTTTTCTAGCACGTCAACTCCTCGTAACTGAAAAAGGATAGGGCCAAACAGCTTTTTTTTCTTCAGTAGATTATTTTCTAAAATCCTAACAATGGTAGATTAAAATAGCTAAATCAAATCTTTCATACACAAAGAAATGAAACTATTAGACCCACATGCCCGTCCACCTGCCCCAGGAACGCCAGAGGGGCGTATCCCACAGGGGAGCAGCGCCCCGCCCACTTACGGTTGGCCAGCCGGCTCTGCTCAGGCTGTGCGCTGTCCACAGACTGGGTGCTGGAGACCGAAGACACGCTGGAGCTCCGCACAAAGCCAAACGCCGCCAGCTTGGCTGCGGGGAGACGTGAGTATCCGGGAGGACGAAGTCCAGATTTGGGTAGATTGGATTTTGCAGCATTTGAACCGGAGGCTTTCTTTAAATCCGCTATAGTGAACGAAAACCAAGCCAAACAAACAAAATCAGTTGACAACAAGATAGAGAATACAAGGACAGTGAATATTAATATGGCTCTATCATAAACAGGCCACAATTAATCTTGTAGGATGTGCTTAAGCACATTCACAAACACACCTTTATGAGAAAGGCCCCTCACAGTGAGAGCTTCACGGAACTCAAATAGAAGGAGAGGCAGCAGGCAGGTGAGACAAGAACAGACAGCTAGTCCTATGATATGACCATAAATAAAGGTATACAGTGCTTAGGAAGCTGAATGGAATGAACACTTACTGTTGCACGTTACCCTAGAACTGTGAAATTGACATACATCTTGAAATCTGACATGCAGTGGGCAAAGAGCACCTTCGTGGCAACTATTCGTCAGGAATTTTAAACAGTATATGATAATTCATGGAAGCATGTACAAAGAATCTTTTGCTAACATTCTGTTGGTTGTAAGAATGAGGTGGGCACAGACTGCAGAGCTCTTGGGGTTGAAATCCAGTCTCTGTCATTTACTAGCCGCATAACCTTGGGGAGTTCACCCGACACTTTAGAACTACAGTTTCCTCCCACAGAAGGACTGGAGATGATAAAAGTGGCCTCAAAGGTGAAATATAAATATTATTGCTTGTAACAGAACTTTATAGATGCTCCAATTAGTGTTAGTATTTTTCTCTTTTCTCCATGATCTGTTTTTGTGTTAAACTAAAATTCAAAAAATAAGCTAAACTTCAAAATTAGTTCCCAGATATGTGCAAAGCCAGCTAATTTTGAAATAATAAAACATCATGCTATAAATCTACCATCTCAGCATGATTATATCCAAATTGGGCTCTGTTCATGGCCACTGCAATGATCATCTCCACACTATAAGAAGACTTTCAATATCAGACAGAACCAGGATGTTATCACACACAAATGCTCTTTAATATTCCTTAAAAGGAAAAAGAGTCAAACGTCCTAATATTCTGTATAATTGTCCCAGTCAAGCCATTTAGCAACTTTCACCTGCACTATTTACTATGAGTGCTGATATACAGACCCTTCAGGAATGTTCCTCATTCTTTATTATCTACTGAAAGATTAACCAGGTTGCAGAATAATAATTTAAAAAAAAACATTTCTTTTTAAAAATTGATTTCTAAAAATCAATGAGGAATCTACATTAGAAATAAATCTATGTATGGAAATCCATGGAGAACCAATAGAGGCCAGTCTGGTCCAATGGTGCCTCTTCCTCTACAGGAATCCCCCTAGGAGTGAGGCTGTAGCCAGTTGTATACCCAGATGAAAGCAGAATATGCACAACTATGGTGTCCTGACTTCTGGGTCAGGACTAGGAAGAGGAAGAATCAGATGAGTGCAGAGGGAAGAGGGAACAGGGATCTGGGGTTGTAATATTCCCAATTCAGTTCTGTTCTTCTGCTTGGGAAAAATGTTCAAATATGATAAGAAATAATCACTGTTTAATAAGTAGTAATGGCCCTTCTGTAGCATCAATTAAATGTCAGGTCAATGCCTTCAATTGCTGTTCTATCATTTTTCATACTCTGAGATGATATCCCCAGGACAATGAAAGTGTCCCCATATATCAGATACATTTTTACAATAAATTTATACCAATGCAATTTTGGATTGCATTTGTATATCAGTAAAACAGATGTTAAACAGTCACATGTGATTTCAATAATCATGTATAATAATCATTTCATCATGTTTTGATACTAACTTCAGTTATAGAGGAAAAGAGTATAACTTCTTTCCAAACCCAGTTAATCAATAACTGATTTAAAAGGACACAAAATCAAGTGAGAAGAATATGAATAGATTTTTTTTCTAGAAAACTCATATTTCAGAATGAAGGAAAGATCACAATTCCTAATAGAATACCTTGGCCTATAATAAACATTCATTTACTATTTATTTAAGAATGAAAGCTAGACACTACTGGGTGGCTCAGTCAGTTGAGCATCCACCTCTTGATTTTGGCTCAGGATATGATCTCAGGGATGTGGGATCAAGCTCTGCATAGGGCTCCATGCTCAGTCAGGATTCTGCTTAAGATTCTTTCCCTTTCCCTCTACCCCTACCCCAGCTTAGGCACTTGTACATGTGGAGTCTCTCTCATAAATAAACAAACAAATAAATAAATTCCTTAAACAAAATGAAAACTAAGATTTTTAAATCATTACTTAAGACAATAAAGGCACTGAAAATATTCAAAGAGGAATTTATTCTATCCTATCCTTACTTACATTTAATGATTGTTCATGTCATTGGTAGAAAGATAGCCTGAACATGTAGAGAGGGATCTCAACAACACAAGAACCCAAGTAGAAAAGAAACCCAAGTAGACAAGACGCTTCCCAAGAAATAGTCTAAGGGAGTTCTGGGCTTTCACTTTCCTTAGTCAATCTTTCCCTTTTATTTTTTAATATATTATTTATTTGACACACAGAGAGAGATTACAAGTAGGCAGAGAGAGGGGGGTAAGCAGGCTCCCTGCTGAGCAGAGAGCCCAACGTGGGTCTCAATCCCAGGACCCCGAGATCATGACCTGAGCCGAAGGCAGAGGCTTAAGCCACTGAGCCACCCAGGCACCTCCCATCTTTCCCTTTTATTAAAGGCACATATTGTGAAAATGTGTGTGTGTGTGTGTGTGTGTGTGTGTAGGCTACTTGTAGAAGTATGTCTTACCCCAACTGCCTACATAATTTTTCTAAATTTAATGTAATCCATACATGAAATTACTATCCAGTGGCCTCTCATTCAACCAGATACATCTCACAAATAGTTTACATACCTTCAGGGTTTGGAAGAACAGGTCTCATTCTTTGGAAACCATCAGTGCCTAGCAAAACCATTTGGTTTTGACAAATTATTCAATCAAATTAAGCTAAATCTGCAGTAGCCAAGCTTGCATGACACTAATATAGCCTGCTGTGTGAGTTGAGTACCTCCACTGGTCTCTCCTGAATGAGAACTATGCTGGAATGGGGCTCTAAACTTCACTATCTAAACAAGCACCTCCATCATTCTCATTGAGGTAACCCATGGAGCACACTTAGGGGTGACGATGTCAACAGAAGATGCCGTATCAGCCTGGGAGAGGTGCTCTTCTTTACATATGGCTGCTCTGACTGAATGTGCCTTAATTTAATCTTAGTTTCTCATAAAAGGAATTTACTTATAAAAATGTGTACTTTACTATTTCTCAAGAGCAGCATGTCGGAGGAATATATTTTTTCAAGTACGTAGTGTCCTTGGACTATTCAAGAATACTGTCTTTGATGGAAATAGTGTATCAAAGTGCAAAATAAGCCCTCAATAAACAAATGATAACAATTAATGTTAAAGAAAACTGAGCAGACACATAAGAGAGTCATCGTCCATGATGGTGGCATGAGAAGCTGAGAAGCTTCATGGACACTTTCTCCAGTGAAACAACCATAATTAGTAAAAAAATTATTTAAAAAAAACCACCACCATTTAAAGGTTCTAGAAATTGTTTTAAGGGTGTATAGCAAATAAAGAAACATTTATATATGGAAATCTACTAAATCTCAGTATGAACAGTCAGATTGGATGACCCTTGAGCCTAACCCACTCCTTTCCTCCTCTGTAACCTTGTCCATCTCAGCATGATGAAAGCTCTGCTCTGGGTGGCTGGGACCAAGGCAACAGCATTCCTCTCCCCCTGGTTAAGAGCTACCATATCTCACTGGGAGAGGCAGGCCACCACCATTTCCCTTCCCTATGCCCTCCCACCAGGTCCACGTTGCAGAGACTAAATGACATGGAAACAAAAGGCTAAGAGGTTGGGGGCCCTTCCTTCACTCCAGCCCCAAGTAAAAGGACAGAGGCACAGCAACTCAAAAATACTGGGGCCCTAATCACTGTTGCCCTGGCTCACTTGCAGGCTAGGGGTTCAATATCAGGAGAGGTAAAGGGAGAAGGACAGAAGCTAGTGCCCCAGCATAGCACCCACCTGTAAATCAGGACTGGCACTCCTAGATCACCTAGATAACCACACTCCCCCAGCAGAGTCATAACTAAGTGATTTTCCCAAAGGCCGAGATAGGCCATAAGAGCAAAAATCACTGCAGTGCTCTATAATGTCCATATTAAAAAAGAAGAAAGATGTCACATCAATAAAATAATCTTCCATCTAAAGACACTGAAGAAAGAAGAGCAAACTAAATGTAAGCAGAAGGAAGGAAACAGTAAATATTACAATGGTAATAAACACAACAAAATAGAAAAGTAAAAGAGAAATTCAATAAAACCTAATTTGGCTTTTAGAATGATCAACAATGTTGACAAACCTTTAGTTACAATGATCAAGTAAAAAGGAAAGAAGACTCAACTTGTTAAATGAGGAATGAAAGAAAGGACATCACTACTAATCTTACAAAACTAAAAAGAATTATAAGGGAATATTATGAACAACTAGTGAAATGAACATGCTCCAGAAAAAACACAAAGAAAAAAAAAGATACAGAAAATCTGAATATACTTACAGCAAAGAAATTGAATTACTAATCTAAAAATTTCCTCCAAAAAAAAAAAAATCCCAGACCCAAATGCCATCAATAGAGAATTTTATCAAGCATTTAAGGAATTTGTACCGTTCTTCACAAATTATTCCAGGGAGGATGGGGAAGATAGAGAAACACTTCCAAACTCATTCTGAGACCACTGTTACTTGATAACCAAATCAGACAAAAATATCATGAAAAAAAGAAAATGCTTACAGATGCAAAATTCTCACCAAAGTATAGCAAGCTGAAATCAGTTACATATAAAAATCAGTTACATACCATAACCAAGTGAGATTTATTCCCCAGAATGAAAGACTGGTTCAACTGATTTCAACATGGAAATCGGCGGACTATGCCACATGAAGAGAACAAAGAAGAATCACATGATCATCTCAGTAGATGCAGACATGTCACTTGAAAACGTCCAAGAACATTTCATGACAA